GGAAGTGCACCGGAGTTTTGCTTTGCTTTTTATCATAGGCTGTGCGTGTGGTGTACTTTGTCACAAAAAATATGGCTAGCCACAATGTTTGTAAGTGTCTCAGTCACAGGTGCCACAGCACCTAGAGATGCTTCCTCTAAGCGAATCATGTATGAGGCAGAGAGTATGTTGGCCGCACGAGGGGCTATTAATGGGCTTGAATGTGAGTTACCCGCTACCACCAGCTCGGCAAGGGCATATCGTCCATCACTTTGCTCTTCCTTTCAAATGCCGTTCTATAAAACAGCGAGTGAGCTTTGAGGTTCCGGTGTCTTTATTTTAGCTACCCAAGCACAACCGTCGCTTTTTTCAATGCCTTCTTGCAGTGGCGCATCCGATGGACTGGATGGAATATTATTCCATCCACGATGCTGGTTGCAGCACTGCATGATGAAAGTTCGCTTATTGTCCACTATCTCGCCCAAGCAGCCAAATTCATAGGCTTCTTGCCCAACATGTCTTCACCTCAGGTGTGTACTGTGGCTTTTTTACAAAGCATACGTAGGCATCTAAATTGGGAACCTATTTAGAGGTCCTTTATTTAGGGGCCTTCGAGCTAGGCATTGCTCCTGCCGTCGCTTTGACCCGCCGTCAGTGGTCTGCCGTTTCAAAGCCCTGCTGTATGAGGAGTGGCCGTATCAAAAAAAGTTACAGGAAAGGCCCTTCTATCAGGGTTCTAGCATGCAACGAGGAAGAGCTTTCTGGCCCTGTGAAACTATTGACGTGCCGTAGATAGTACGTGCCTGCAATGTCGGTTAAAGCCTAGTTCTGACCAGTGGACGGTCGGTACGTGCACTTCCGTTTGAATGCCCGGTGTGCGGCATGGTGCAGGCGGTGAGTTGTGGTTTTCCAGCCGCTACTGTGAAGAGGTAACAGGGAGCAGCCTAGGGGTGAATAGCTACGATTCGAGTGCAATTGACGTGGGGATACTGGTATTTCTGAGTTCGTTGTTATCCTGTGGAAAGCAGTGGGTGGATCATTCTATTTTTCTCAGACAGTAGGCTAGCTCTGGCGTTACATGAAAGGCTGAATGCCCAATACGTGCCGATGTGGAGTGAGTCCGACCTCGAACTTTTGACAGCTCCCAAGAATATGGTAGCCCTACGATGAGTGCACCTTCTTTGGTTTGTGGAAGTGAATAGGCAATCCGCTGAAGATGCGTAAGAGAACAGTCACCCATGTGTGTATTTCTTTATATACTGATTTGCACCCTTCGGTTGCGCGAGCGGTTTATCGTGGCCCATCCACGCACACATTCATCTAGCATGTCTGCTTTACAAGGGAGCACACGAGGCCGTCACAGTTCGCGCGGAGCCACTAATTCGCGCTACTCTTCGTGGGCTTCATTTTGCCTGTTCAGCAACTAGTACTGCCTAAACAGGAAATGCTAGCCAGGGATTTTCTGGAAAATGCCTTATTCTCTCTAGATAGTGAGTGCATTATCTGCCTGCGTGGTTGCCTGCATCCTGCACAGTAGCCTAGATAGATTTAAAAGGCAGCTCACACTTTTAGGGTTGCCTATTCTTTGTAATCGAAGACGTTCCATCTCAATTTTTCTTTTGCCCAGAGGGTCTCCATGCCTATAGTTATGGTAATGATTACTCCGCGGTCACGCGTTTACAGCTTGTGCGCGGGGCACCCACGAGAAACCAATGGCGCGGAAGACACGATCCACGTAGCGCGTTGCTTCGGGCGTGGGTGAGGGGCCCGTGACTTCTCCAGCTTATATCAGTGGGGTAGGGTTCACGTTTCTAGCACACAGTGGAGGCAAGCGCGCGGCTAGAATGTAGTGCTTTTCTAGTGCTTTTGCTTTAGACGGTCCTCTGTATCTTTTGAATGTACTTCTGTCGTATATCCTTAATGGGGTGTGTCCATGCAACGGAAAACGTTGGACGGTGTCATAGACTGCAGCGCATCATCTGGCTTAGAGAGCCAGGGGCTCTTCGCACTGCCGTTGTGGGTTTGCACTGTTGGAAGGGGGAGGGTTCGTTTATACTGTTTTTCGTTCAAACTTTTTGCAAGGGCATGCATTCGGCAAAGTGTGCTAGCAGGTGTACCATACTGGATTTTATTATCATGTTTTGATTTTAGTCTGTACTCAAAGCGAGCTGAAGTTTGTGGTTCAACGCAAGTAGTGTAGGGGCTGCTGCGGAAAAAAAAAGGGTGGCTTGGCACTTTCCCATGGCAAACGGCAAGCCACCCTTTTCACAGTCATATGGTTTGTGAAATTAGCTCCAATTAGCAGATTGTAGCAGAGCAACGAACTGAACAGGCACGACAGGGCCAATCCAGTGGTTTATTTGATGGGTGATACCAGCTGGTGCATACTGCACTGGTTAAGAGGATGCTCGACCTACTGAGGCCTGTGCTTGCTTTGCCCTGGAAGGTGTAGCACCCTGGGTTTTTGAAGGCATATTGGTTCCGGCCATTGCAAACGGATTGAGTGGGAATTAATTGCCGCTGATGGTGTGTTCGCTGACCAAAGCCAATTATTTGCACGCTAACTGCATTGCTGTATTGGTATGCCAGACTGGCGATGTTTCCAGCTTCTTTTACATGGCTGGCAACATGCCGCAGGCGGGTTGGCATGAGTATATCTCAGTATTATGCGGGAATTGGTGCTAGATTGGCCAGAAGCCCTTTGCGTTGTAGGTAAGACCCTGCTGGAGGTTTCTACGACTTTGGTTGTCGCGGCGTAGCAAGTACGTTGATTGGTGCACACCACTAATGGAGAACTGTGCTCGTGCCCTTTTGCTTCAACAAAGCAACGGGGCACGAGCACAGCGGGGTCGCTGAGACATCTTGCTGTCCCTGTTAACCGATTGCAAGAGGGCACGATAAGGTGACACAAAGTCCATAGTTGAACGATCAACGGGCACCGCATGTGCGAAAGGCAACATACACTTTACGGCCTTAGCATAGTTCTCCCAAATGGCCATTGAAGTAGAGGCGTTTGAAGTTGATTGCAGCTGAAGGTCTGTCAGCTGGCCATTAACAGCGATGTGCACGAGGATTGTTAGGTAGGTATGTCAAGGCTAGTGAACTCCCCAGCTGCGCTTGCTTTTCTGGCAAAATAATACCAGCGGGCTGGCATGTAAGCATCTCAGTAATTTGCGGGGAGTGGTGTTAAATTCATCAGGGGCTGTTTGAGTTGGGTGTATAAATCTGGTGTTGGGAGGGTGCTGGGCGTCTCTTCGACTGTTGTTTGTTGCGGCGTAGGGAGTACGGTGATAGGTGATGCAAACCACTAGTGGAGAACTGTGCTCGTGCCCTTTTGCTTCAACAAAGCAACGGGGCACGAGCACAGCGGGGTCGCTAAGACATCTTGCTGTGCCTGTTTAACTGATTGTAAGAGGGCACGATAAGGTGACACAAAGTCCATAGTTGAACGATCAACGGGCACCGCATGTGCGAAAGGCAACATACACTTTACGGCCTTAGCATAGTTCTCCCAAATGGCCATTGAAGTAGAGGCGTTTGAAGTTGATTGCAGCTGAAGGTCTGTCAGCTGGCCATTAACAGCGATGTGCACGAGTATTGTTAGGTAGGTATGTCAAGGCTAGTGAACTCCCCAGCTGCGCTTGCTTTTCTGGCAAAATGATACCAGCGGGCTGGCATGTAAGCATCTCAGTAATTTGCGGGGAGTGGTGTTAAATTCATCAGGGGCTGTTTGAGTTGGGTGTATAAATCTGGTGTGGGAGGGTGCTGGGCGTCTCTTCGACTGTTGTTTGTTGCGGCGTAGGGAGTACGTTGATAGGTGGTGCAAACCACTAGTGGCGAACTGCGCTCGTGCCCTTTTGCTTCAATAAAGCAACGGGGCACGAACACAGCGGGGTCGCTGAGACATCTTGCTGTCCCTGTTTAGCTGATTGCAAGAGGGCACGATAAGATGACACAGAGTCCATAGTTGAACGGTCAACGGGCACCGCATGTGCGAAAGGCAACATACACTTTACGGCCTTAGCATAGTTCTCCCAAATGGCCATTGAAGTAGAGGCGTTTGAAGTTGATTGCAGCTGAAGGTCTGTCAGCTGGCCATTAACAGCGATGTGCACGAGGATTGTTAGGTAGGTATGTCAAGGCTAGTGACGTTCCCAACTGCCCTTTCATTGGCGGCAGCGTGATATGGGCGGGTTGGCATGTAAGCATCTCAGTAATTTGCGGGGAGTGGTGTTAAGTTCTCCAGGGGCTGTTTGAGCTGGGTGTATATATCTGGTGTTGGGAGGGTGCTGGGCGTCTCTTCGACTGTTGTTTTTTGCGGCGTAGGGAGTACGTTGATAGGTGGTGCAAACCACTAGTGGAGAACTGTGCTCGTGCCCTTTTGCTTCAACAAAGCAACGGGGCACGAGCACAGCGGGGTCGCTGAGACATCTTGCTGTGCCTGTTTAACTGATTGTAAGAGTGCACGATAAGGTGACACAGAGCCCATAGTTGAACGATCAACGGGCACCGCATGTGCGAAAGGCAACATACTCTTTACGGCCTTAGCATAGTACTCCCAAATGGCCATTGAAGTAGAGGCGTTTGAAGTTGATTGCAGCTGAAGGTCTGTCAGCTGGCCATTAACAGCGATGTGCACGAGGATTGTTACGTAGGGTTGTCAGGCTAGTGACGTTCCCAACTGCCCTGTCATTGCCGGCAACGTGATATGGGCGGGTTGGCATGTAAGCATCTCAGTAATTTGCGGGGAGTGGTGTTAAATTCACGAGGGGCTGTTTGAGTTGGGTGTATAGTTCTGGTGTGGGAGGGTGCTGGGCGTCTCGTCGACTTTGATTGTTGCGGCGTAGAGAGTACGTTGATCGCTGCACACCATGAGTGGGCAGCGTTGCTCATTCTCGTACGAGCACAGCGGGTTCGCTAAGACATCTTGCTGTCCCTGTTTAACCGATTGCAAGAAGGCCGTTTGGAGAGATGTCGTCCAGCTAATTTCATGTGTCTGCAAAGTGCGAGTTTTTAGCGAGATGCGCTTTGTATTCGTATGGTATGGATGCGGCAAGAGCATACAGAATTCTCACGAGGCGTGTCTGCGCTCTTTGATGATAAAGTGCGTAAGTGGGGAATGAATGCGCTCGCCTGGCGTCCGGGTTTGCGTTGGAATATTGCGCATGCTATTTTCCACTGAACTTTTCAGGGTAGACAATAGTGAGCGTAAAAAAGCTCCGTTTGTTTATTTAAAAGCACAGCTGTGGGCAGAGGTATGCAACACCGGTGCAGGACGTGCGTGTGGAATTCCAGTTGTGCATATGCTTCGACGGCATCCCAAGCCTTCGAAGGGAGGTATGGGAAGGTATGGAATGACTCGGTGAATTTCGTGGCACCTTACTATAAGCGTTGAAACTTTGACAATACGTCAAATGCTCTAGGATAGTATTTGCCCTATGGCCGATTTGTGATTGCGTCAGGCTGGAGGAAATGCTCACAGGTGTGGCATCAGTGGCTAGAGCAGATAAGAGCTCACAAACAGTAAAGAGAGGGGCAATTGCGTCGTCGTTTATTAGACTGTCAGGTGGGGGCATGCTCCTCCTTCCACAGGAACATGAATCACCAGTCGCGAAGGAAACAGCTGTGATGGATCCCTACAGTTCTCTTTGGATAAGGCTGGACCCGAGCAGGACGTATGCTGACTGATTTTCCTCGCTGAGAAGCGCTAGGGTTGCTGCCAGGTTTAGCAGTGTTAATTTATCTTGGGGAACTCTGACATAACTGGCTTGCCCCAGTTAGTGCGTTAGCGCCAGAACCATATGCACAGGTAGATGCTCAACAATCAAATATGGCGTGGTGATGGGAAAGTCCCCCATCCCCTTCCAAAATCGAGGAAAGGTTGAGGGAACGTTTTGCGTCCAAAACCAACGATGCGACGGCGATTAGTGCATTGGAATAGAATTGAAATGGGGACGTTCTTGTGTCCGTTTTCGAGCCATTTGAATTAGGTGTAAACAGGAAGTGTATCGTACATGGTCATCAGGATTACCAGCGTGGACTGCGTTTCGCAATACTATCCAGCTTGGTCGCGTTTTGTGCCTAGTTGCTCGGTGAATTTTGAGAGGAGATTGCGAGTGTCAAAATTGTCAGTTCGTACGTTTCCTCTTCCGGAATTGGTGAAATGCTGCTGATGGCAATGTTGCAAGTGAGAGCAGGCGTCCGCAGGTGCCGGTCGCTTGCGACGAATTAACATACCTGCTAATTCTAAGATAATTTATCTGTAAGTGGTGTTGGTCATATTATGTTCAGGCCGACTCTGCACGTGAAATGAGTTGGTTGAATTAGACAGAGGAGGCGTTTCACTCCAAGCGACTAGCGGTGGACTGAGAAGGCTGGTGGAGTTGCATCCCTTGGTTCTCCTTTGAGCCTGAGGTGCCAGCGTATTTATTTTGTGGTATTGGAACTGGCGGGTGTACGTTCTCCGATCAGTGTTTGCACACGAGGCTGGTTCAAACAGTTGGTGCGTCCCCAGTGTGGGCTAATTTTGCTCTCCCCGTATGGATAGTTTTGCGCCCGTGGACTGTCTGGGTGGGAGTCTAAAAATGACAGGTGACCACTGCCACATTTGGCCATTTGCGTGCATTAGGGAGTGCGTCGGTTACATGGTGGAATATTTCGCATCACACTTTGCAGTCTAGGGGGAGCTGTTAGTAGCATTTGCAGATCTCAGGTCCTGTGGAAATGTATGCCTTTGGAAATGTATGAAGCTGTGGATGTCTCGTAGATTCACCTCGTTTTAGAGTGGGTATGCTTCATTATGTTGATTGGATTTTGGCAGCCGGTTACTGATATGCGCCGATTCTGCACAGCAAGTAAGGTTCTTCCAGCAAGCTCTTCGAATTGCTGCTGGCGGCCGGCGACCCTGGCCAACTTCCTCGCAGAAGCCCACGCAAAGGCATACGCTCACCTGAAGGTGACTGCGCAGGCAGTGAGCTGGCTCTCAAGGCTGCAGGCGGTGGTTTGTTGGTGTTGCAGTAGAAAACAAGCGCACCTTTCCTCCACTACAGAGGTTTTGGCCCAGCACATACACAGCGAGCAACATGGGCGGTCCCGCTGGTATCAAGGAGGTATACTGCTTGATGCGGGCAGGCTTTCTTGGAGAAGGATGATATTTTCTTCGGGGGCAATGCTTCCTACACGGAGGAGGATATACGTAGGATAGAGTACACTGGAGCCTTCATACTATCTGGTTTGTGCTTAATCCATCTTGCAGCTCCCTTGGGAAGCTGGAATTGCCAGGCCAAATTCTTTTCCGCTCAGGCAGTGCGCTACTACCATTGTAGCACCCGCTAGTAGCCAGTTTTCCAGTTTCGGATGCACTAACTGGGGGCAACAAGCGAAGAGTTAATATTCACTAATACGCAAGCTTGCAGGCTGAACCAATGGAGTAGATCGTACGTGTACCTTCGCATTGATACAACAGAGGTTAGTCTTTTCTGAGTGTAGACCTACTTTGTTCCTGAGATTTCCTTCTGTTGGAAGCGTGTGTTGTTTTAGTCGGTGCGCCTGGCATTCGCGTAGCCCCTATTTACGCCTGGTTGCTTAAGGCCATTGCTGCTTAGCCAAAATGGACATTTGAGCAGTGAAGGCGCTGTTGAATATGTTGTCGCTTGTCGGGGCGCTCAACCGCCCTCGAAAGGGAGGATGTTTTGAGCCGCTAGTCCTCCTCCGGCATTTTGCGCTATCGAAGGTGGCTGGATATGTGATAGCAGCAGCTAAGCTGCAAGGAGAACACAATACGGCAAGTTGCGGCCCCTAGATGGTAAGCCGCTTTGTATTAGATAGACACTCTTGCTAGTAGGAGCTCACTGTCGAGGATAACAGAGTCCCGTTCACGCACGCTTTGCGACGGTGAACAAGGTTGTATCTGCCTCTTGCGGGACGCAGATTGTGTGTTACTATGACTTCACAAACACGCTGTCCTTTTCGGTAGCCGGACTAACAGCGTGGAATACCCCAGTTTTCTTTGAACACTACTAGTCGGTTGCTGTCATAGACGCTTTACATTGGTGCGTTGCGCCTGTCTCCATTTGCAGAATAGCAGAGACGTTGACAGCATTGCTTGCTTCACAGATAGTACGTTGGCACGTGGGCAACATTTATCGAAAAGCAGATCCATCTGCGTTGTAACGGTTCATCACAGTGTTCATGCATGCCGATGCCTGCTAAGTGGCTCCTAGCACTGGCTCCTGATCTCAGAGGTGCTGGGTCGTGTAAACGAAAGCATCGTTTTTTCCCGAAAACGCGGTCCAAGTAGATGCATTGGGTAAACCGCTGCGAAGTGCCCCGAGGGGATGCGAGTGATTCGTCGATGTGACAGGCCGTGCGTCCGCTGCTACGGTTTCATCTTTCTGAATGGTAGATGGCTTCCATGGCGCAAGCAGCAGTTGCTTGCCCTTAGACCTGCCTAGAATCCTTGTGTCGAAGCAGATTTAAACTATGTTTACAGTGCTAGTCCTTTCTCTCCCATGGCGCAGGCAGTGAGCTCTGCACCTCTCACGTTTCATAAGCTGACTACGCGTTTTATTGCGTGCGCAGGCGGCTTGAGCCGTACCGCGTCATGATACTCGATACCTAGCCAGCAGTGGCACCCTAATATGGAATGGGTGACATAGGTAGCTGTGGTTTTCTGGTGCAGCTGCAGTGGTATGTTTGAAGTGACGTTCAGGAGTTGTGTACCGAGCGCTGGATATCGTGACAGGAGGATGGGTTGTTGCACAGGCAGTATGCTCACGTCCTCCACGACATGTTTGCCGGGGCATCAGGGATTGTGTGGGTTAAGCTGATGCATTTGGTTAGTAGTAGACAGATACAGCATCAGCAAAATATCTGCAAAGTACCGGCTGCCCTCTGACGGTTCAGGCAGTGAGCGGTGACTGATGAAGCAACTGGGTCATTCGAACGAGAGGTCAAGAGTCCCTGGGCACATCCACAAGGTCTCGTTCCCGGATACTTTATCAACTGGCTAGTAGTCACCTTTACCAAACCTTTCGACGTTTGGGTTGGGATTGCTAGTATAGAGACCAGTCGGGCGGCGTGTTGAGGGGGGACCTCAAAGAGTTATGGATTCTTAGTTTCCCAGCAACAACAATGCAGTCTGTGAGTTTACCCTTCGACGAATGCATGACGGTTGTTTTACTTCAATTTTCGATGCACCGCCTGAGTCTTCTTCGGGAGCTCTGCACGCAAGAAATGTTGCTGGCTCAAGCCGTGTAGCTTCTTCATCCAATTTTTTCTGAATGCCGCATTGTGGGCTTCTAATTGTGTAATTTCCCGTGTTTGGCATTGCTTCAAATGGCCGCTGGTTGAAGAAGAATAGATGTTGGCCGGCATCGCATTGTCGCCTGCGTATGGCTTGCAAGAACAGATGTTATTACTTTGGTGTAGCTGCCCTGCATCTTTGTGCGTGGGCAACCGCTAGGGTTTCAATGGCCCAGGGAGTGCGTTCTCTAAGTCCAGCAAGCAGCTTTCGATACTTGCAATTAATAAAGGTCTGGCAGATCCCAGTGTGTAAAGTACCCATACATACAGGGGTTTTGTGGACCAGGTAGGTCTGGCGCGTCGAATCCGAAGTGCCCGTTGGGGGTGGGGGGTGTGGACAATTTCTTTTGAAGAAGGTGCGTTCCTTCTGGCTTGCCGTACAGAACTGAAGCATTCCACTTTTGCTGTTGAATCCTGTGGATCCGGCGGGTTCTATTCTGCTGGCCGCAGATGCTTCTGAGGAGCATGCTGATTATCTAGCAGGATGACGCTGCAAATCAGTGGTGTATCCCGCTAACGAATTGCTGATGTGCAGCATGTAGGTACAGAAGGGGCTCTTTGTAGCTCGGTATTTTGGAGAGAGCTTGCCTCATTTGTAATCGGCTGTACGTTGGGCGTTGTCGCCTCCACCTTGGCTTTCGTACGAGGCACGGATGATGTTAGCGGCAGCCTGGTTATATCTGCAGGCGTCTGCAAGTGTCATGGTGGAGCTTAGAGCCGTTCCCATCAATGATGGCAAGAGGAAGAGTACGGTTACTTGCGACAGTAGAGGTGAATTATGTGCACATCTCGAGTTGTCGTGGCACAGATAGTGTGTCGTGGGGGCCGCAAACAAGGCTGTTTGGGGATGCCACGTGCAGCATGCTGGGAATCCAAGAGAGAGAAGGGGGCTTATCCACTTCTCCACGAGAGGTGACCGCAAACCAATTGACTGCTTTTGGGTTAACGGGCATGTTTGCGTGTGCATGTGTGGGTGGATGGTGGGTGTGCGTGCCTAGGTGGGTGGGAGCCCGTGTTTGTACGTACGTGTGTCCGTGTCTACGTTGATGCTAAAGCTATACAGGATAGCTCTATGTGATTCTTTAGACGAATTGGATGCAGCTGGCTGAGGCAAGAATCGAACGCTCCACCACGTAGAGGCGAAAAGTGTTTGAGCGCTTACATCTTCGTAGCCGGTGCGTTTCTCTGGCCATCCCGTGGTGAAATCATTAGGGCTATTTTTAGCGCGTTTGGCGATTGTCGGCGCTGTTAAGCGATTCACGAGCTTATAGGATGAAGTAGCAGCATTGTTATTTGCGCCTTTACGCGTCTGACGGCGCACGATGATGGCGTCGGCAACCCCATGCACATTCGCGTTTACTCGCTCCTAATGATCATTTAATCTC